TGTATATTGTCTGAGATAATATCGTAATTGTTGTTTTAACGATGTGCGATACTCGACACTATCGTGTATATCGCAAAAACCAAACCAAACACCTACAGAGACGCATACATGATGTGAAGTCTAGTAGGTTAGACTAGCGCGTGTGCGAGTGTGTTCTTTCACTGCATGATTCAGTCTATTAAAATGCATCACAAAATTCAAGATATGGGGGCTTTAAATCATTTCATATAGTTAATATCACACGAAGAGTGCCGTTTTTTCCTCCAAATATCAGCATGATTACAAATGTGATATTGATTTTATACAACAGTTCAATAAACAAGAAGTTAATATTAAGACTTGAGTTTTAGACATCGTATTTCCTGTTTTTGCTCTATTTCGACAACAGAAATAATTCCAAACAAAGCCACAGCATTGTTCTGCGTCTCTGAGCAACATGACGGTGTTTCGTTCCGTTTAAATGATTCGGTTCAGACGCAATGACTCACTTATTAACAGTGACTTGCTGCCACCTTTGATACTGATTTTATCTGATTGGTAACAGCCCAAATGTCATATTATTCTAATTGACTGATTAAATGTAAGAATTTGACTCAAATGATGATGCACACTTTTAGAAAAAAATGGCTTAATTGTAAAAATGACCATAAAAGGTAAAAATCAATTTAAACTTATTGGAAAAGATTAATTTCTATCACTGCTGTGAACTGACCACCACACAGAATATGAAGAATATCAAAGTCAGCTGTCCACGGTATAGTCCTTAAGACTACCAGCACAATAACACAAGATCAGCACAAGAACACACTCAGCAAAATATTGTCTAATTATCGTTATCGATTAAATCCTACAATATATCGAGATATAATTTTTTGTCAATATCGCACAGCCCTAGCTGCCAGCCGTTCCGCACAATTGGCAGAGCTGAATGTAAGATTTAACACCGCATACACCATCCTAACCCTCGCCAAATAGGAGCTCTCTCTCTGTGTGTTTAACCAAACTCAGAAATCTGTCAGTATTTCTTTTCATTTTCACTCTTCTTCAGCCCTTTGCATTTCCCGCGGTAGTTAGCTCCCTGTCACCTGACAGCGTGATTGACAGCTAATATTAACCCCTATTATTTATTGGCGATGAAAGGTTCATATTTTGGTTTTGGGAGTCCCCAACAACAGGTTGACATGCATGCAAGGTCAAAAAACACCTTCATGACTGGGTGATTGACAGCTAATATTAACCAATCTAAAATCTGCATTAAAGTTAAGAATGTAAAGATGAAATATATTAATATATAATTTGTAGTTGTGGTGCTCATGAATTTTTGGTGGGTGCTCCTAAATTTTTGCTGGTGCTCCAAACGTTTTAAAGTTGGGAGCACCAGTGCTACCAAGTAAAAAAAATATAATTTCGAGCCCTGTTTGAGGGAGGATGCGAGAAACAATTTCACACATGTATGCCGTTCCTCCCTGAAACACGTTAAGCACAGAGAAGTCATTGATGGTGTTCATGTGTCAGGAGAATCTGATTGGGCACCATATGCTGTCACAGCTTACAGTCTGTCTGGAAAGACTTAACTGTAGATTTACTCTGATCCATACCTGCAGCTGAGACACTGGATTTACTGGTCCCAATCACGGGGAGTCTGTTCTCACAAGACAAACCTTTTTATCTTAATCTGGTCAAAAACTACCAACTTAGACAGGAAGGGTCCCTATGACCTACATGGAAAACAGACAGCCACGGTTTGCTTTTCGCACATTCAAGTCTTTGCATTGACTTATTTGTGGACTTTAAAGTGGACTCAAGCCGCTTTCTAGTTTCTCAGTCCACATTACATTAAAACTAATGTTTTTTGAAAGCTAAACAATCTGAATAATAACAATTATATCTAAAGTAGTAAGACACGTCTATGATCTACAAACTGTTAAAAGTCTGGATACTACAGGCAAACACTGGTATTCACAAGGGCAAATACAAAGTACAAATAAAAGCTGTAGAGCCTAGATTTGTGTGAATTAAAGACCAAGATTTTAGTTTTTCGGTGAATAATCTGTTCTGCACTAATACTCTCTGAATGTAAGAAAGGAGAGATGATGTTAATGTCAATTTATATCTGCGCCCCAACTCAGTGCTTTACTGTTGAAGACAAAATATGAAATGTTATTGGTAACTGCACTACAATGAATACATGATTGTTATTAGTTTCTGTCTTTATATGTTTCATCTTATAGGCACCAATCAAACCAGGTCCAGGTGCCCCATCTATCAAACTGTGCTCTAAACTTCTGTATGACAACAGAGAAGGAAATACAGGAGAGTGTCATAAGGCCAAATAAACTGTTGCTAATGTGTGTTTTCATAGATCTGTAGGAGTGTGCGTCTCATACCGCGTGGCAAACATGGCCCTGAGCGAGGAGAAAGTGGCTGCGTCCTCTTTTAGGGCTTTGAGCTCGTTGCGAAGCTTCATCATGGTTTCAGTCACCATGGCCTTTTCGTTCTCATATTTGCTCTTCAGGTTGGCCAGCGCCACCTCAGCGGTCTGGAAAACAGCAACAAACACACGGGCAATTAGCAGCTGTTAATGTTAATAATATCTTAATATCTTCATGCCTTATACAGAAGTTGCCAGTGTTGGGGGTAACGCATTATAAGTAATACTAGTTATGTAATCAGATTACTTTTTAATTAACTAGTAAAGTAACATTACGTTTAAATTTACAACAAAATATCGGAGTTACTTTTCAAATAAGTAACGCGTACTTCACTGACAGCTGAGAGAAATCGGGAGTGATATATAGGCAGAGGCACTTCCTTCAGTCGGAGGCTTAATAACTTCACTTTTGCTGTGAAAGGGCCTTTACAGTTGCCAAAAATATAACTTTTGGGGGTTTTTTTCTTATTAAAAAACAGCAAGTAATGCTGGAAGTAATGCAAAATTAATGTAATGCATTATTTTCCATAAAAAAATAACTAATATTGTGATTAGGGGTGGAACGATAAATCAATTTGTGGATCGATTCTGCAATTTACCGAATGCACTGCGATTCACCTCTGCTGTTAAAAACTAAGCTCAGAATCGATTTAAGAGAGAATTGTGATGCATTCGGAAAAACACAGAATTGATCCACGAATCGATTTATTGTTCCACCCCTAATTGTAATGCATTACTTTTAAAAGTAACTTTCCCCAACACTGACAGTCGCATTTAGCAGATTAGAGCTGGACGATAATATATAGTTTACATTTTGTGACAATACAAGCAATCAAGCAGTTGAGAAATCAGTCCCTCCAGGATTTTTTTTTCTGTAATTTTTTCTGTGGCGATATATATTTTGATAACACACTCACCATATTGTATCATGTTAAATGAGAGGAGAAACAATAATGTACAGTATGTGGAAAATAATGTTTTTTGAACCTTAAACCGCATAAACACATTTCATTACACCAAATACACAAAATAATGTTCTTTTTAGCAGCATCATATGACCCCTTTAATAATCGACAAGACAGACGATTTGGTGAGCGTTTTGCAAGGCAAAAAGCGCACAAAAGTAACACAAATCCGCTTTTAATAACTCTTTATATTACTGTCAACTATGTGATGTTTTTATATTTTTAATTCATACATGTTTATTAATCACTCTAATGTGTTAATAACTTTAAATAGTACTGTCCACTGAAAGTTGTACCTCATACAAAAACAAAATCTCTGTCGATTTGACACTTATGATATCACCCATCCATATGCTAAAACAATAATCACAGACATGTTTAGACACATTTTCAATTGCTTCCGCTGAGATAGCAACAGTAGAATTTTTTTGGAATCGCAAAAAACTGGAGGGACTGAGGAATCAAAACAGCAGAAGGTTGTCCTTAAATTTTAGAAACAACAGGAACGATTTGCTGTGTTTGACAGCTGTTTATCTTTTAGTTCCTTAAAAAAAACCTCATTTGACTCAGGTAGTCTAAAGTCAGACAGCTTCTTCAAAGAGTCAAACACAAAACATGACTCTGGAGTCCCTGGTGTCATTTTAAATCAATACAAAGACAGTCATGATGAAGAAACACTAGTTAAGAGCCACTGCTGTAATGCACCAGTATCAGTGTAGCGATGAGGGGGAAACGCTGACCTGTTTGTTGGCCTTCAGGACGGTCCTCAGCGTGGCTATCTGCTCCCTCTTGGTGCTGAGGAGCGATTTGAGTTTGAGGATCTCCTCCACGCTGGCCTCCTGGTCTCGGTCTGCCCCGAGACCCAGCTCCAGGGAAGCTATGCGCTGGCGCGAGAGCTCGGTGGTGCGGTCCACCGCTAGCTGCAGGTGTCTGATCTGGTCACGGATGATAGCCACCAGGTTATAGATGTTCATGGGCTCTTTGCGGGGATCAGGCACCGGGGACGGGACGGAGGAGACCGGAGACGAAGCTCCGTCGCTGGGGAAGAGGCCGCGGGTCAGCAGGATGGGAGAGCGGCGTCCGCGACCGTCAGGGCTGCCCCAGCCTGTGGTCTGTGTGCCATTAACGCCAGCCTTACCTTCGCGGTAGTAGTCGAGCATGATGCGGTTCGGCGTTTCGTTGTTGCACATGCATACGTGATGGTAGAGGTTGGCTAGCTCCTCGCTGAAGGTGGCAAGCTCGTCTTGTGCGATGTTAAGGCTGCCCTGGGATTCGCCTGCCACTTCGCTGGCTTGACGGAGCTCTTTCTCGAGCCGTGCCAGCTGCTCGCGGTCGGCTCTGCTGCTGCGCTCCAGAGACGTGACCTGTGTGCTTAAAGATGCAACCTGGCTCTCCAGCTGCACCCGCTCCTCCTTATACTGAGATTGACAGGCTGAATGGTAATCGTTGCCTGGGTTGCGTACGTATATGTGGGGCGGAGCTATCAAAATAGGGGCAAGACCCTTTTGGGGTAGGGGCGTGTTTGTTTTGGTGATTTCAAATATCAACATTGGCTACCAGAAATCACTTACTCTGCCTTTAATGCACATTAATTGTGCTGAAGTCCAACTAAAGATACACTGAAGTATATTCGATTGTGCTAAAGTGGAACTACTGCAGGTATACTTTAGGTACACTTTAAATATCTCGCATTTAAAGACCTTTATTATTCAAAGATCACACAATCCTCAACCAATAGTGACATTAAAACACATTTTAAGCTTAATATTAAGAAATGTGCACTTTTGCAAGTAGTACTCTAAAATGAAGTTTAATTATAATTTTTAATATCAGTAAGTCTCAAGCAATATGTCAATAATTGTGTTAATAGATTTGAACTACACATAGTATAGGGATGTCACTGTTGAACTGTGAACTAGTGAAATGCTTCACTGTCTAAAAAGGAAGAAACCTTTTAAGGCAGCATCCTAAATTAAAATGGAAGCTAAAAAACAAAAATGACAGATTTGAAATGCATTTCTACATGGCCATATTTCCACATACTAATAGCACTGCCCACGTAAAATTCACAGGAGAATCAACTCGCACTCGCAAATGATTCCAATAGAGTTTGATGTTAAGATTTTTAACAGTAAACATCAACAAAACCAATATTCACTGGTGTTAGAAAACACTCTCTGTCTTTTTATTGGTTCCAGATGTTTTCACCCTCCTCTTCTTCCCTCTCTCACTCGCCCTCCCTGTACAGAGCACTGTTGTTTTCTCTTACTTCCCCCTCCTCCATCTGCTCTCTCTCTCTCTCTTGTATTATGTTTTAGTATCTCTTACTCATATTCGAGGTACGCATGTGCACATGTATGCATTAGCTTTTCTTGGTTCAAATGTTCAAATAAGGACATGATTTAATTAATCGCATCCAAAATAAGAGTTTTTGTTTACATAATATATGTGAGTGTGCCGTGTATATTTATTATGTATATATAAATACACACACATGCATGTATATATTTAAGAAAAATGTTATATTTGTATATTAAATATATTTATGTATGATATAAATTATATGAATATAAATATAAACATAATATTTTCTAAATATATGCTGTATGTGTGTGTATTTAAATATGCATAATAAATATACACAGCACACACACATATATTATGTAAACAAAAACTCTTATTTTGGATGCGATTAATCGTTTGACAGCACTACATTTGTATTATTTAATGGATTACTATTAATTAAAGTTCAGTGTTTGCATTTCCCTGGACATCTGACTTATTTTGAGAAATACAGAATTTATGTTTTGTGATTTGAGTTAAGAGCTGCAGAAATCTGTTTGTCTGGTGTCTTATACAAATGTCAATAATGCAGAACAGAAACAAAAGAATATTGATAGAGATAAACTGTGCACTTTATAAGGCAAATGTGTGAATGTTTGTGGAATATTTTAGGCTAACAACTCTCCAGTCAAAGTTCAAAGTGCTCTTTTCTTTCAGCCTTGTGCTCAAAATAAGAACAAAACACATAGCACACTAAATAGTCTATTTTTAATGATATTTTTTTGGTGTTGAATGAAAATATATTTATCGACTGGTTCACCATTTTAGATTAAGATTTTTTAACGTATATAAAAACGTATATTTCTATACCTTGTACTTGCACTCCAGGATCTCGGGGCCGTTGATGTCCACCTCATAGTATTCACTGTCCTCGTGGCTGTCGCGATCCTTCTCATTGTCCAGAGCGGACTGGCGCTCTTTGCTGGCCTGGAGTTTGCGGACGGCGTTGAGGTTCTCGGTGAGACGGCTGACCTTCTCGTGCTGCTCAGATAGCGCTCCGTGAGCCTGCTCCAGCTGCTTCTGAGACTCCTGCAGGGTCGACAGCAGCGTCACCTTCTCCCGCTCCACCTGAACAACCGACAAACACATTATTTATTTATCGATGGTACACCTTCTTCGATAACGATATAAAAAATTTTCATACATTATAGTGTACGATATAGGCACGTGCTATGAGATCGCACACACAAACAAGAACACATGCTGAAATGAGTGCTGTGCCTGTCTGTGATGAGGAGATTGTGAATAAAAAATGAATGGTAGTC